TAATCTTTATAATAATATACTTAATTAGAAAAAATCAAATAAATTAATAAAACTTACTGTATATCAGATTTCATAAAGACCTTTGATCTTAAGTATTGTTTCATTACAAAGATCTTAACATGGATTCAAATTTTGTAAAAGCATAACTGGTATACTGACTTTTAAATATAATGAATATGGTAGAACTCCAGAAGGTTGTAATATATTAAGATACACAGAAGAATATACTGTTTGTTTCTTATCAGAAACAGTATCGGTACTAAGATAGGTTTTGATAGCTGAATCACTGGTTTGGTGAATAAGAAGTTTATTTTGGATATGGTCTACAGCACATTAATATTTCATACTGCTAGAATGGCTTTTTCAGCTAAAACCTCAATTGACAGATTTAAAGAAGAGGCAAAAAGACTAAGTAGGTATATTTCCTCCATCAAACGTTGTATACTATTATCTGAAAGAAGCATTCTTGAATGAAGGATAATATGATTGAGAACAGGAGAAGGCTTGGTTGCAGTTCCAATTTGGAGAATATAATTAGCATATTCTTTTTCTATTATATATGATTTGAGAGTCATACTGGCATATATCAGATGAATGTTTTCCTCTAACTGTAGGACCTGAACCAGAGGCTAGTAGGTAGAACTCATCAAAGTAGAATTGATAATTTGTGATTGAGAACCACCAGAAACAACTGGAAGATATTGTCTAAAATCTTCAGTAAAAAGTATAGTTATTTCTCCAAAATAGAGAGAGTCTTGATGAATATCTGACAATATTCTTGAAACTACATCACATGTATATTTATGTTATATGGTTGCTTCATCCTAAATAATAAGTAAGGTTTAAAGAAAATCTTCGTCTGAGGAGATCCATGATTGATTGAACAAACAGACTAATTGTCTAAAATCAAGAGAATTCAGAACGTTTAATATGTTGTTTATCCTTCTTACAGTAGTATTTCTACAATGCTGCTAGATACTACTACTAAAACAATCTTGTATTGACCTCAAATTTTTGCAAGAAGTGTATTCTTCAAAAATGTCTTTCCTATTTCTCCTGCTCCATCAAGGAAGAGTATATCTCCAGTCATGGTATTAACATCCATTGACCTTAGGACTACTTGAAATACATGTCTCTGTGTAGAATTTAACTGTGGTTCACATCTCTGAAGCATTACATTTAACTTTACATGATTTCATAATATTTGATTATGTAGTAATCTATTCTGATATTGACTATAAAGACTATAGTTTAAGTCAGATAAAGGCAATGGCAATCCAAAGTGATTTAATCCTTTACCCATATCAGAAAGTATCTCTTGAAGGAGATATAGTCTAAGGCTGTATATTTGCTTATCTGATGGACTCAGAATTCTCATACTATGTTCCAGTATATACTTATAGTTATCAGACAGAAAATCTCTATATGTTAACCACAAATTAACTGGATGAGAAGGACTTGATTCACACAATATAATCACAAAGAGATTCTGTAGCTATTTTCCAGTATGAATTGAAGTTGCTTTAGGTAGGATAACTACTTGTAGCACCTGTAGGATAATTATCTGAGCCCAGGCAGGGTAACCTTTTCATATTTCATTAAGGTAGGGTAACTTTATTCTCCCCTCACCACCTGCCCCTTACCCTCTTTTTTTTTCCGCTCTCATTTTATTTTCTTCCCCCCCGGTCCTTTATCTCCTTCAACCCACCTTAGCTTAGTGCTGTCTTTCCGGGCATTTGTCTCATAGTGCATTTTAGTGCTGTCTCATAGTGCATTTTAGCGCTGTCTTTCCGGGCATTTTGTACTGGCGGTTTTCAGGGGTCTCGAGTACTATAGATACTAATATTCAACCTCCCCCATCTTGTGGGCAGTCGTGGACTACGGTAAATTATGACCACTACCGGTACCGGTACAACCCTTGTCGCAAACCTGAACAAATGCAGCCACGGGCAGTTTGGTAAAAGGAAAGCGAAAATGAAGTGCCAGTCAAGGTAAAGACTAAGCTAGTCCCTAGGGCCGTTCGGGTCACTGAAGCCGCGGTGGCGTCGGTTCATACGATACGGTTCAATACCGTAGCCCATTTCTCTGGCACTGGCAGCTAGTGTTCGAGCGGAGTCTTCAACGGGGGCCCGACAAAAGGCGGCGTACCGGTATTTGGGCTGGCGGGCTACCGGTAAGGCGTGGATTCGTCGAGGTAGGGTAACGGAAAAACGAATGGGTCAACAAATTTACGGCATGATACGGTACCGGCTGCCGGTACCTGTTACAGATCCCTGCCCATCGCCCCCCGCTGAAGACTGTGCTCGCGTTACCGGACTCGCACTTGGCATGCGTCAAACCATCGACATTTTCCTTCATCCCCGCCTCTCTCCTATGTCATTCTATCATTCTATCACGCATGATAACCCTTCATCTCGCTGCCCTCATGGTCAGCATCACCCCTACTGTATGACAGCGACACAAAGCCCCCCGGGGGACCATCCCACCACCCAGATTTTCCCGAAGAACGCCAATCCTGGAAACGCTGAAAGCCAGAACCCTGGAGCTACTTCCCAGTTCCCACCCTACAACTCTACGGGTACTCTGCATTCGCTCTCACAGCCCTCCCCCTAGCACAAACCTCGTATTCAACCCGCAAATCCTACCCTGCCATCACGCAAACTGCGATCCAGCAGCATTTGTGCCACCGCCCATCCTACCCGTTGCTGCTTTCACCTTCCGGAACTGCAATGGATCTGCCGGTATCCGGGGTCGCTGGACTGGAGAGTACACGTACGAGTAAGGAGCTTTCCGGCAATTCCGGTGCGAGTACATCGCACATGGTTTGCTCTGGTGTTTTTTTTTTTTCCCCTTGTGCGGCGAGCTCCCCGGGGCTGTAACAATGTGTGGGTACTGGTAACTTAATTGATTTTCGGCTCTGGGGATACGAGGCTAGATGTGGGGTGTGCTCTTGTGCGGTCTTGCTTCTTTGGGTGGAGGAATTGCTAGGCGCTGGAGTGGTGTTGGAATGGGTTTAAAGAGGGCGGGGAAATCCTCCTCAATTCGGGTTCGGTTTCTGTGCGACACCGCTAGCTTCCAGCAACTTGCCGTAAAATACCACATTCCTTATGTTCTACCAATCCCACTTACGTTCTTTGCTCTTCTCCACCCTTCTTCCCCTCCTCCTCTTCCTGTCATCACCCGCTACAACTATGGCCCAAAAACTCGATGAGACAACCTTCAAGCTCAAAGAGTCCGGGTACAACCAGCACATCGCCGCCCTCTCCCAACTTCTGCCCAAAGCCAGCGTCCTCGATGTCCTTGCTTCGACAAACCACGACATGGTCGCCGTGGACGTGCTCGCGGTCGGCATGAGCTACAAAGCCACGCGCTGGGAGAATTCCGCCTCCTTCAACGACTTCGGCACGACCTCCTGGTACCCGCAAGGCATCAGCACCTCCGCCGACGCATACGACGTCGGCACGTACGAGGGCAAGCGCGTAACACTGGCGAGCTGGTACGACAATCGCGACGTCCCCGCCGCGGAGAATAAGGGTGTTAGGATCGCCTTCATGGATAGGAGTAAGAGCCCTGATGCCTATCGGTATGTGTTGCTCGTGGAGCCCTATTCGGATGCAGGGACGGTAGATTTTAGGTCTGTGAAGGTGCATGCGGGGGGCATCGCCTGGTATGGGAATTCGCTATATATAGTGGATACGGATAATGGGTTTAGGGTGTTTGATCTTACGCAGATTTGGAAGGTTGAGACGGGCGACGGGATTGGGAGGAAGGCTGGTGGGGGGTTCTCGGCGGCGGATTATGCTTATGTTTTGCCGCAGAGTCGGTATGGTTCCTTTCTCTATTTATCTCTTCTTGGGGAGGTTCGCGCTAATCGCTCAAGCAGAACCTACACCCCGACCAACCCTCCCTCCCCTGGCTTACGCTTCTCCTTCGTTTCCCTGGACCGTACAACGACACCGGACAGCCTCATCGTCGGTGAGTACCAACCCGCCTCGTTCACCGGACCCCGTCGCTTCGTGCGCTGGTCCATCGACTACACCAACCGCCAATTGGTCACCGACTCCGCCGGTGTCGCCACCGCCACTTGGGCGTACCAAGTCAACATCGACCGCATGCAGGGCGCCAACTCTGTCAACGGGAAGTTCTACATCTCTAGAAGCAATGGGGGGTCGAATGGTGATATTATTTCCTGGGTTCCTGGCAGTCCCGCCAATATCGCCGGTGGCGCGCTACCGGAGGGACCCGAGGATATGAGCTATGATAAGACAACGGGGACGATGTACACCCTTACCGAGGCTACCAATGGGAGATATATTTTACCGTTTGATCCCACACGTTTGCCATAGTGGGGTGGGGATGCTGGATTTGAGGGGCAGCAATGGGTTGCGGTGTATTACGTGCTAGATTGATCGTACGGGAATTGGGATTTGTGGCGGTAGTTCTGATCTGGAAGTATTTGTGTAAGTGATTCGTGAGTAGGGGAATCACGGTTAACTTAGAATGATAACCTCGGTGCCCGTCCCAGTGGAGCGATGTCTTGCGAGTGATTCATCATGACTGCTCTGACTGGTCTCCCTTTCGGAAGCATGAGACTTAGAGGAGTAGTAGGGTAAATATCCATATCATTACCGGTTGCTTATGCCCTCATCATAAAAATATCCCTCACCAATTTTACTGGATGTCAAGCCTCTAAGCCTCAAAAGGTTGGCATCGCCATCTCAATTGGCATAATGCGAGACCTCATTTTCAAGCAGGGCACAAAGGACCAATTCTCCAGAACCCAGTTCTCCAATCCTCTACACCAATAGACTATAAGCCATCAGCAATCAACCCAGGCTGAACTCTCACCCCAGGACTCGAGAGAAGCGTGACGTACCGTTTCAGCAAAGAACACCCCCGTGGGGTCATACCGCTGCTTAATCCCGTACAGCCTCGGATAATTCGTCCCCCAGAACGCCTGTTGATGATCCGGCTTATTGATATCGGTCTAAGAAATCACCTACGAGCATTGGCACCCTCCGCCCGCCCATCCTTTCATCCTTCACGAATCCTACCTCGCTAAGATAGCCCCCGGAACCCGGCGACACGTCCCTCTACTTCTGCATGCGAACGTTCGTAAACTCTCTGCAATCCGGCGATGTGCTCCAGATCGTGAATTCCCGCATCCCAGCTGGTGCCGGTAATAATGTGCATCACCGCCTCCCTCCACGCTGGATTCACCGAACTGTCCGGCATCCCTCCGGCCTTTAAGGTCGGCGCTACATTGAACCCGATACGGAGTGTGGCGATATTACCTTCGTTCTTGATCCCCTCGAACGTCTTCTCCAATTTATCCTGGTTTATGAAGTTCTCTCGGGGGAATAGTCTGGATCCCACGCATGTATTCCACCCGCCCACGCGCTCCTGCGGGACCCGGCTTTCCAGGCGTCGTGGAAGTTCATTAATGAGGTAGTTACGGAGTCGACCTTGATCCCGAGGTCTGCAGCCTTGGCGATGATTGGGGAGAGGAGGGTTGTGACTTCTTCTGCTGAGGAGCATGGAGCAATGAAGGGGCCATGACAAATTTTATCCCTTTGTCGGGCTGGACTACGATGTTCCAGTAGCTGTAGATTCCCTTGTCCGCATGCTCTGGGAAGAGACGGAAGTAGACTTTTACGACTTCCCAGAAGTCGGTGTGTCCAGGTTTCCGGTTGCCACGGCTTGCATATCCTTGGTGCTCGCAGTCCGGGTGAATTAGGAGATTGTGATGGGGATGTCTCTGTGCGCCCTTACGGTTATGGAAGTTGTGATGCCGGAGGTGCCTATTCCATTCCGTCTGCTAGACTTTACTGGCGGGTTTCTGTGAGGGGGGCGAATGTGGGGCGTTCACTTCCCCCCCCCCCCCCGCAGAGGGCCCAATATAGATCCGGGTGATTTTCTTTGCTAGCAGTGACGAAGCGGCCCTTCGCCATGACTACATTGAGTGAGAGGACAGAGTCCGTGCCCATCCCCAGGGCACTGCCTAGTGGTGAATGGCCACCTCCCTGTATATACCCACCAGCATATCCAACCGTCTTCGACGATCGGCCGGTGCACCTCTAATACCCACTCGGGAGCACAAGAGCACATACCGCCCCCTCCACACTGACCACCATATACCCAAACTCTTTCGCGAAAGCGAAGATATCCCTCCCCTCCACACTCGAACCCACCTTGAACGCGGGTCCCATATACCCACCTCCACTATACTCCTCTATAAACGCCATCTCATTCAACAAATTCATTCGCACACTCAACGACCCCCTCCCGGAGGACTTTCCACCAAAGTCGTGTCCAGTGTTCTTGACGACCAGGCGCAAGTTTTGATTCCTGGCAAAGTTGACGCTAACCTGGACGTCCCGGACCGTTCTCGTGCTGACGACGTAGATGGGGTAGGTTCCCTGGGTGCATGTTCCATCCGTGGAATTCGTCGTGGGGAGGCAAGACATGCCGGTGTATAGCGGGGACATGATCGACGAGAGATGTTCATCGCTATTGTTTTTTTGTTTTTTTTCAATAGTCAGAACATGTCACTCGGAAGGGAAGAAGGAGCAAATCTCACTAAAAATCGAAGTTATTCCACCCCTCGACAACCCCCGCACACCCCGCCTCATCGTATAATTCCCCAGCGTAGCAAACAGCCGCTGCCGGTGCCGGTTTCGAAAACGAGCCCGGGGTGACCATGCCCTCTAGCACTCGCCACTTATCCTCACCCCGCCAGTCGTTATCCCCCAGCTGGACTTTGCACTTCCTCGTCTCCGCGCCCCGTCGGAGCCTCCTGCCATTTCCGGCGTTGGTGTCCGGGAGTTCTCCGCCGAAGATGAGCTCTGGATACCCGTGGGTGTTGGTATCGTTAAATCTATTCGCTCCGCATTGAAGGTAGTAACGAGGCCCGCGAGAGCAGTGTTTTGGCAGAGCGTGAAGGTGAGCAGAGTCACGACGGAATTCACTAGTAGCATGGTTGTGTTTGCACGACGGGTGACTTGGAAGATGGCTCCTAGCAGAACGGGCGGAGAGGGTAGTAAATTATGATATCTTAAATATCGATAAGCATATAATTTAGCCTCAAACTCCCATTTCGGTAAACTCGCTTATTCCCAGCGGTTGTAATTTACTCTACGAGTATGATAGCTGCACTACAAGTACTTGTACTTGTATAATACCCCCCTGCAAGTAGGCCTTGTCATACCACGGATACACTCCGGTAGTTGACCAGCACAGATCCAGGTACAGTATATACCCGATGTACCGTACGAGTTAACGAGCAAGTCGGAAGCCCAAAAACCAAATCACTGATATACAGTAGCAGTAGTAACATGCCGGTACTATATTGACCACCAACGCACCGGAAGGATAACCAGGGGGCCCTACCGCTGGTCTCAATCGGACTACAGCGCAAAGCCCTAATAGATAAATGTCCACTCATCCACTCAATCTCTCGGGGTCGGAACGATCACGCAGGATATTCCATGCGCCGTCAACCGTATCAATTTATTTGTATTTGCCCTGATTTCGTCATAGTCTACTCACAGATTAATAGTTGTGCTGGCTAAAGTACTGTACTGTGCTGTATACGTGATGGGTAATGTTGAAAAGATATTCCGGGCAGGGCCGGTCTCTAGAAACTCCTCTAGAGTAATACTTGAACCGGTGCTATTGGTACTGCGCTGTATACCGGCGTCCCCAGAATCCAGGCGATAGTATGTAACTTAGCCATCATATCAGCAGTGGGAAGGCTGCACCCGGTTTGCCGGGCCAGGTAAAAATGTTGGAGATTATTCGGGTTGGAGGGCAGAAGTTGACAACTGCGGACTGTGTGATGGTGCGAATACCGGAATGCTTTTCTTAACTGGTAAAGCCGGCTGTTGATTCAGCAGGAAAGGTACTGCCCATTGGGAGAAAGAGGAAATGCACACTAGATTTGTAAATTATGTTGAGTGGGCTTCGAATTAGCCGCATGGGAGACTTGATAGAGATGGAAAACTGCCGGAGGGGAGAAGAAGCTTGCTAGAATCGCATGGTGGGATGCTAAGGTCGCAGTTCGTGAATAGTGGGTTTTGCCGGGGGGAGAGGGCTTTATTTTTTGTTGTTGGGTGTTGAGCGATGTAAGCTCACTGGGTGGGTAGGGTACTGCTTTTTGGGTAGGGGATGATAGTAGAGGTGTTAACTCCGGCTCCGTGTCTCCACTGGCCGAACTTGGAGGTATTGGGCGAAGGTGCGAGTGATGTTGTCACTGGGAAGAAGCACTGTAGGAGTTTTGTAGGGGAGCTATCAGAGGAGTGAAAGTTGTCGTGGGTGGCAATTCAGATAGCAATCATGAATAGTCACTCATTGTCTTGGCTTATTGAAGTAATCAGAACCCTGGCGTTTGAAGAGGGGGTACGTTGGTCGATCGTGCTACACAAGTTCCGCTATCCCGAACACTGAGAAGTGCCCTGCCATTTCTCAGCTCGCCTGGTGCAAATTCCACAAAACACGCCATACCGCTACCAGAGTTGCAGCATATCTACCTTCGGCCAACACTTTGGACAGACAATCATGGACAGCACAGCATATAAACAGTCGATCGGTAGCGGCAATATCGACTGCGGTAACGTAAGGAATAGCCATAACACTACAAGTATCAACAACAGTACAATCAACGTGAACAAAGGAATCGCCGATGAGAACCCAGAAATAATACAGTGGCTCTCTCCACTGGACGCCAGGGGGCGGCATCAGGATGTGCGTACCGACAGACTCGACGGTGTGGGAAATTGGGTTTTGGAGACAAGCGAGTTTCGGGAGTGGAGGAGTAGTGAAGGGGGAGTAGATAAGGCTGTGTTATTTTGTTACGGCAATCCGGGAGTGGGGAAGACGTATCTGAGGCGAGTGTCTGGTTCCTTTGGGATGAGCGAGATTTATCGCTGAGGACCTGCGATATCAGTTCGTTAGTGATAGACAGCCTATGCGATGAACCTGGAGAGGGAGATATTGCGATCGCGATGTTCTACTGCGACTTCCGCGACCAGCAGCGCCAGACAACTGCCAACATTATGGGAGCCATCCTAAGGCAACTGGTTATTAGAGGGGAAGTGCTGAAGGATGTGCAGATGGCGTTTCAAAAGGCGAAAAAAGAGGTTGGCGGGCGAGGGCTGCGACTTCCGGATATAGTGCAGATGCTTAAGCAGGTCATTGCCACATTGCCCCGGGTTTTTATCTGCATCGATGCATTGGATGAGTGTTTTCCAAAGGATCTACTGGAGCTTCTTAGATCACTAAAGGATATCGTTGGAGAGTCACGGAGGACGCGATTATTTGTCACCGGGAGGCCTCAGGTTGAGGCCGAAATTAAGAGATATTTCGCCACTGCCCTGATAGTACCCATCAGCCCTAACACGGATGACATAAAACGATTTTTGGAGGATAGGCTGGAGATGGACACCGAGCCAGACGCGATGACCGATAGTTTACGGGCGGATATCTTGAGGATTATTCTGGAAAAAGTCTCTGAAATGTGTGTAGAAGCATCCGCCGTTCCCAATATATCTACGAGCTTGTATTGGTTAACTATGGTCTCTAGTTTTCTCCTTGTTTCGCTAATCATCGATGCTATCCTGGGGGAGGCTACCATCTTTGAGAGAAGGAAAAAGTTGAATGACATGACCAGGGGCCGTCATTTGGGGAATGCGTATGCGACAACCCTAACACGAATGAAGGCGCAGAAAGGGAGTAGACCCAGACTCGGAATGGAAGCCCTGATGTGGATATCGAATTCGGAGCGACCCCTACGCACTAGTGAGCTATGCCATGCCCTAGGAGTAAGGCTAGGATCTGCGGATCTAGAATCTGAGAGCAATCCTACAATTCGAACACTCCTAGGGTGTTCTTTAGGGCTTATCACGGTTGAGAAATCCTCCGACACCGTCCGGCTTGTCCACCTCACTTTGCAAGAGTATTTATCTAATAACCTAAGCTTGTTCCGAAGCCCACATTCGCTGATAGCGGAGGTTTGCTTAACCTACCTCAATTTCCGGCGTGTGCGGGAACTTTCGCCGCTTCTTGATCCGGTCCCGTCGACATTGCCCCTTCTCGAATATGCTTCTCACTACTGGGGAGCGCACATGAGCAAGGAGAAGACGGAACGTGTGAGTCCGCTCGTAGTGGAGCTGTTGATGGGATTCGAACAACATATCGCCTCCCGGCTTCTCTTACTTCACTCTTTTAAGGATGCACGGTGGGAGAAGCGTTTTTATAAGAGTGGTGGTTCTAAGGGCTTTGCAGGGCTCCATGCTGCCGCATTTTTCGGAATTGGGGAGATAGTTGCTGCTTTATTGGCCATGAAGGAGTGGGATATTAACGCATCAGATACCGCGGGTAAAACGGCCCTCACATGGGCGGCTGCAAGGGGTCATGAGGGGGTGGTAAAGATGCTATTGGAGCGAGAGGATATCGATCCCAACACTGTGGACGCCATACATGGCGAAATACCACTTTCGTGGGCTGCGAAGGGCGGGCATGAGGGGGTGGTAAAGCTGCTATTGGAACGAGAGGATATCAATCCCAAC